TGCATTCTTATTTGGTGAAACTCGTGGCGCATTTCTGCTTTTGGTTCGAGGTCAAGACTATCTGGACTTGTGTGTATAATGCATGTTGATTGCTGTAGTTCGCTAATGCTCATCTTCCTTGCATATTTCTCCTCACCCGACCAATCCATTGAAAAATGTGTGATTCGATTTGGGTCAACTCTTTTTTTTGTGATCGCCTTCACGTCAATGCTCTTTCTTTTTTTTTCTCTTTTCCAATATTTGACTACGATCTTCACCCGAATAGAATTTTGCCCGGTCATTATAGCTGCATCTGGACTGGAAGTGGCCCCATATACAGCTATAATGACCCGGCATGCTATTCAGGTGAAGACGGCAGGTCTTCTCTTGGTCGTCCTTCCATCTGCTGACCATTCCTCCCAGATTTCTTGTGGAAGCAATATCAGTTGGCCAGTGTTGCACAGCCGATGGTTGGCAGGCCTCTGCCGAGTAGGCGCTGACATGCCTATGGTAGGGCCAGTAGGCACCAACATGCCTATGGTCGGGCCTGTCGGCGCCAAACTCTGCATAAGAACTTTACATCTACTAGCTGGCAACACTTGGGTCCGTTCCCCAATTCAATCAATTAAACTACATTGCTGTGCCTATTGATGGGCTGCTGCTGCCCCTGCCTGAACACTGCTCGCAGGAGCATAGCCGTGTGGTGAGAGTGTGAGTTTGGCGAGAATTCACAGTGGTGAGCAGTGACCGCTCACTGCGGCGAATTCCCTTTGGTGAGTGATGGAGCCACACTGTAGCGAGGCTCTACATTGCTTGAGTCAGAGGATGAACGGATTGACAAAAGACATTGATGACACTCCTTCCAGAAGCAACATCTGCCCTGTACAGTTGAGCCCAGGGCTCAGGTGGTTGCGCCCTCGGCACACGCAGTGGGAGGCCGACACATCACGCAGCGGCCGTGGACCAATGAGAATGCACCATTGGCGTCACACATCTGCTACGAGCCAAGGAGAAGAATGCGGCAAACACTTGGAGCCTGGAGGGCTACCTGGACGTGCCTAACTGCACGAGGCCCAGGCCAGTATCTGAAACTGGCCCTGGACGCAGACACTTTGGGCCAACTTGAAGCTACTGGGCCCTACACGCCAGGCCCAGGACAGCCAGTGGCAGGGCACACTTTCCATATAGGAAAGTGTGAGCCCAGGGGCACGGCATTCTGGCCTGAGCAGGCAATGCAGCCACGCTGCTGCTTTGCCATGCGGTTGCTGCGCTAGCAGGCAGGCTGGACGCGCGCGCGGGCGCAAGAGGTGACAGGGGCGCTGCGGTGGCCATAGCCGGGCCGCTGGGGCGCAGACTGGTGATGGTGATGGTGGTCTTCGGGTAGGAGGCGCATGCAGAGGGGAGACAAGGTGTGATGAGGAGAGGAGAGAGAGAACGTACCTGGTGTATGCCGGCGGTCTGCATCGGTGATGACATCACATACATTGGTCTTCAACTTCGATGTGATCCGGTTGCTTGAACGTAGATAGGCGTAGATAGGCTGAGTAGGGTAGGCTGGTGCTGGGCGCCCATCAGTAGGAGCGACATTGTATACTTTGTTAGTGTGGCCAGAGAGCGTGAACATTGACATAGGAGTTCATTGTATGCTCTTATTTGGATGGTATCTTGGTGCATTGTGCTCTCTGCTTGGTACATGACTATCTGGGCTACTTCGTGATTTTGCAATTTGGATTTCTGTCTATCGCTCTCGCTCATATTCCTTGCAATTTGCAAATTGCAAGAGATTTGAGCGATAGCGAGATGACAGAAACCAAATCACATTTCCACATTGAGAGCGTGAAGCCACATTGAGTCTGAAAAGCAGTAATG